AAAAGACTCCAAGGATATGCAAGGCTATCTGGCTTTTGGGTTTATTGCATCTGCAGGAGCATTATTAAACATGCGTCCTTATATTCAATTTTATTAGCAGTTATCATTAGTTCATTAACTAACCAATCTATGTAAGCACATGTGCTACTTTTAAGCAGGTGGTAAGCAATCAGGACCATTTTACCATCTTTCATCTTTAAGTTTTTACTACGCTGCTAGATTATAGACAAATCGTACCAGATTATCCGACGATTCACGAATCAATGTGCCCAACTAGGTACCCCGAAACACACACTCCGCTAGTATCTAGGCACAAACAGGACCAACCCATCACTCTCCTGTCAAGGGGTCCAAGTCCCCATCCAAACTTGGACTCTAAGCCCCAACACATGAGTCCCGGACTCAGTGTGGTGCTTAGACCTCCACCATCCCCCCTACAATCAGTCGGTCCGGAAAGAGTCTAAACCCACGATAAGAGATCAATGAGCCTTACCTGCTCCCATAAACAAGTATGTGCTAAGGATAATAAGTCTATGACTTGACTAGAATCTAATGCAACGGTTGGTCCTTAACCGACACAGGCGGAACAAGTGCAAGCCGAGCCTCGCTCGAATGCCAAACCAAGTCCAGATCTAAAGTACCGTTCCGCCCGATCTCCAATTATCATTCATATATATTCCAGGTGATAATAATATAGTAACAACAATAATATATTTTCTATCTCTCGCGAATGACGGGCAATCACTCGACTTCTACCGGAGTCCTGTAGCATAGCAATCTACATGATCCTATCATACTAGTAAGACTCATAGGATAAGGATATATATATATATATATATATATATGCAAGTGGGTTTCATTCAACTCCTTAAACTTAATGCACAAGCAAAAAATAAGGTGCAAAATAATAGGGGTTGTGCACCGATGCTTATCTGGGTAAGATATAACCAAATATTAGCATTCCATCATGGCGACACGATCAATAAGGGACCATCTTTTCTGCTACTCTGGTTGACTCCAGATCCATCGTTGTTCCTATTATGACATTCGTGGATACACGCGGAAAACGTAATTAATCAATGGCAACCGCAACTCTTAAAATACGTTTATGCCTCTCACGCTAACGAGCTAGCTCTAGTGACTAACGTACTAGGCCACGTATCCATGTTGTCGAACAAGATGTTATTTCCCAATAAGTGTTTTAGTTATACAAAAATAAGTTGTTTCTTTATTCTATTCTACCGATTTAATATTTATTTGAAATAGGCAGCATTATCTATCTAGCAAAATAATTATTCTAGTGTTACAAAAATTACAGTGAACAGCTAATAATATTATGAATTTACTGTAAAATTTTCAGAGTCGACACTATCACCATTTTCTCACAAAAATTCCCACAAATTCACATTTTAACAATATTAAACATTTTAAAATAATTAGAGCAACCCTAGAACATTTTAAAACTAGATGAACCAATTACGCTAACAGATAGATCATTATTTTAGGAGCCTCACAAAATTGGTTTCACAATTTTTGGACTTCTCCATAATTTTATATTGAATTTACAAGTTTGCCTTAGAAACTAATTTAGAAAAACACTAGAAAAAGTCGAAGGGCCGGCGGCGACCGATTCGGCCCAGCAGCCCCACTACGGCCCGTGCGGGGCGACTGAGCGCGCGGCGCGATGGCCCAACGACGGCCCAAGGCCGAGAGGCCCGCGCGCGATGCGATCTTGCTGAAAGATCCCCAAACTCTTGGATAATAACACGACCCCTACGCACACTATTTCCACTATCACAACTTTACACTTCAGCTCCTCAACTAACCCCTCTTTACAACAGGGCGGTCCCCGATGCCACCGTGCTCGCCGGAGCGGCACTGGCCGGCACCGCAGGGCCACGCCGACCACCAAAGGGCTTACTCGATGCGCTAAACGGGCCGACGGGTATCTACGAACCAACGCACAACGGTACGAAGCAAAAGGAACTCAACGATGCACTGCCATAACCTATCCTCGACGCCGGGCCGAACCGTGCGGCGGCGTGACGGTTCCGGCACGCCTAGGCGGTGAGAGAGTGGTCGAGATGGCGTGAGAGCATCCACGGCTTACCCTGGTGCTAGCCGTGTCGACGGTTGAGGTAGAGGGAGGTGCAGGAGGGCTGGCCACGTGCGCGCAGTGAGGTCAGCAGCGCTCCACGGCGGACATGGCCGCGCCACCGGCCGAACGACCATGTTAGAGGTTCAAGCTAGGTGAGCACGAACTATAGCCTAGATTGGAGAGTCTAGTGGGGGTATTGAATTAGACTCTACCACTTGGAAACTCAAACCCACCCCTACTGCTATGGCCACGGAGGCGACAACGATCAACAACGAGGGAAACACCAAATTGGCGGTTGACAGCGCCCTGCTAGGGCTCGGCGTGGGTGGCGTAGCTAAGCCACTTTATGATGGAGCTACGGGTGCGACAAATCGAGCTCTGGTGGATTGAGGTACACGAGTTGTGAGTCCGGGCGCACAACGAGTCCAAATGATGCAACGGCAGCAGCGGCACAGCGGTCGCGGGGGGCCGATGCACAAACGGCACGCGGGAAGTGTAGTGGCACCACGATTAGAACATTAACTCGATGTGCCAACGGGGACAGGCAACTGCTCGGCGAGTAGGTGGTTCGAGCGGCGGAAGAAGTGCCACGTCGACTTAGCGGTGGCCGCCGCGATGCTGGCCCGACCTTGCGCATGGTACACCAGTTCGGCGTGGCAAGGTGAGGCAAGAGACACGCCGCGTCTTCGGCCGACACGTGGCAGCAGCACGCGCGCTGTCCCGCAGGGAGAGGCCACGGCCGGCCAAGGGCCGAGCCCAGCGCCAGCGAAGCACGTGCGCACGGTGACCGCGAACACAAGCCGAAAGACGAAAAACGGTGCCGTGCACGCTATTTAAAGCATACAAAAATCACTTAAAAGCTCGACTAAGGCTCAACCAACTACACGAACCTAAAGTCCACACCACTGGCTATCCAGCGAAGCAATCGTCGAGACTAAAGAGTGACTAGAGAGGGAGAGAGGAGGATGCCATGGTGATCATGTCGCTTGAGCACTGGTTCACGAGCAGAGCACCGGTGACAAGGTTCTAGTGCGCTCTGATCGAAGTTTGGGCAATTTTTAAGAGTCCAAGTTGACATCCAACTCAACTACGACCTACACCTTGCCCAAGTGCTAAGTTAGAAGCAGCCAATGGTGCAAGAACATGGATGTAGTGCTTAACCATTTTTGTTGGAAAACAAATGCCAAAATGCCATTGTCTCTCATCGCTACAGACTTAGAAAGAACGAGAGTCCCGCTTGAACTAAACAACTATTAACACCTTTGATTGAATTTTTAAAAGGTCGAAACTTCATCAATTTCAACTAGATAACATGTTATGACCTAGTCCATACTTCGTAATAACTTGTGGGAACAAAATATTAAAGCACTATTTAAGTATTTTGCATATTATAATTCTTCAAAAATGACACTTTCTAATTATAAGCTATGCTACATTTTCATTTTTAGAAATCGTTTTTCATGCCGAACATCTAAACCAACTTTCCCTATTTTTCTTATTAGAATTTCATAAGCACGTTTACACATTAATTGAACTAACTCACAATATCCCATTCGCTTCTCTTCTTATAAAAATGAGACCTACAATTTAATTATCCTTTCTTGGGAGTTTTAAAATTTTTAACACCCGAAAACTTATTTTGTTAATTTCTTTTAGGCCTTAATCTACGCACTAAGCAAGATCGTAATACCAGAGGTGTTACAACTAATATACTTTAAATTGGAATAAAAGAAATCATTATGTATTTTCTCTTTTTTAACTCTGCAGTTAAATAACTAAATAGACACGTATTTTTATAAATCCTAAAAACGTATGTGTCTATTTAGTTACTGAACTATAAAGTTAAAAATAGAAAGTACATGATGAATTGTTTTACGCTAATTTAAAGTAAATGTTACCGGGAGTCTAACAAAATTAAATTTACAATTTTTAGACAGTTTTATAAATATATATTGAATTTACAAGTTTACAGTATTTAGAGACAGAGATGACATAATTGAACAAGTTTAAGGACCTAAACGGGTGGTTTGTAAGTTTAGGGACCTAGATGATACAGCTGAACAAGTCTGAGGACCTAAACAAGTGATTTGAGAGTTTAGGGACCAGGATGACACATATGAACAAGTGTGAGTACTTGAATGGTTAATTTACGAGTTTAGGAATCGGAATGACACAACCGAACAAGTTCGAGGACCGCCAGTGCACTCGCTTTCTCATTAGTCGTTGCCGCCTGCATGCACCAGGAGCTCATCATCAAGAAGGAAGACAGTTTGGACGAACTCTCGACACTGAATAATTTGTGTTTTGTTGGTGGTGTAGTGAAACTTTTGACCTGCAAAAAATCCGGATTGCCATTCTTGGCCCTCATGTTCTGTAGAAAATATTTACTGCCGCTATAATTTAATAGAACTCGTGTTAGTTTCGAAAATGAAATAGTCCGGTCGTAATTTTTTGAGCCATGGCCAAAATTTGTCTCAAACCAAATAGATGCTAAATTTCCAACGCATTTGCATAACCCGCCCTGTTTTTTCAGCACTACTTCTACAATACTTTTCAACGAACGAACAATATTTCCTCTCACAACAATTTAGCATAAGCATCACCAGCAGCCAAATTTCAGCGAAACGAACATAAGACATTTCTATTGCAAACCAAAGCAGCCAAATTCAAGCAGCTTAGGTCAATAACTCACACGGCCGGCCGGTATATCTCGAGTCTGAAGTCTGAACTGATTAATGTGTTTTACATGTACCAGCATTCGCATTCGGACGCTGATAACAAAATTACAACAGCTGCGGCAGCAGCCAGCTTACATAGGCAGCGTGTTTCAAACACCTGATATACATCACAACAGACAGTGCTACACATCAGTCAGTAGCCAGATGGCTCCCTCTTGTCAGGGTCAGAACCTTCTCTTCTGCTGAGGATACCCAGGGTTCTGCTGCATCCCGATCCCTTGATCCGCCTTCCTTCTCAACTGTTTGTCACACACATCAGACTTAAGTGCTTCCACAATCACAAGCCTTCTTCAATAACATCGCACTTAAGGCCATAATTACCTGGTGCGGATGAGACTGGCCACCTGCGCCTCTTTGCATAGGGATGTTACCAGGATTTAACCCAGCCATGCTAGCCTGTGATGCAGCATTGAAGGCAGCCATGTTTGCTCCAGCTGCCACTCTTGGCATCCCCCCAACCATAGGTTGCTGCGGCATTTGTCGTGGCATGGGTCTTGCTACAGATTGACCTCCAGGAGCATTCCCTGATGGCTGAAATACAAATGCATCGCAATATAACTTGGACAACTCAGACAAGATTTCACATCTATGCTGCAGATGGGTAATTGGAACTAACAAGAAGTTGGGTTCCTAAACCAGTTATGGAAAATAAAGTGTTAGGAAGAGGTGTGTTACCGGTTGAGTTGGTTGAAGGCTCGTTGTTCCTTCAAAATCTGTTGTAGTATCTACTGGACGAACAGGATACTGTACAATTTTCTCCCCTGGTTGGGATGGTAAAAGCGCGCTAACCAGAAAACAAGTTCAGTCAGGAGTATAGGAAATACCTTCCCTTTCTAAATGAAATCTTATGCCAAACATCTGAGAATTTTTCTGCATGAAGCCATTCAAACTAACAGGTATTTCTTTGGAATTTGCTCACACATAACTTACTTTCGTCCAGGTAGTGGGTCCATCCGAAAGTATCTAAGCAAAGAAAAGAGCATATTCAGAAACATTTATGTACAAAAAAGTAGTCACAGATCAAGTACATGAACGGCATTATCAACTTTTCAGGATGGAAAAATGTACGTCTTTGTTTAAGCTAAACACATATCATTAAAGCTTCTAAAAATGAAAAACAGAGATAAGAATCCAGAAACCATTATATTCTCATGTTATTATAAGATTCAGGAAGCAGAAATATTTACAAGGGTATTGATGAGCCCAATTAGCCTTCAATCCTAGCAGTTAATGCTCACTCATGTCTCAAAAGGAACATATCAGTACTAATGAAAGAAAATAAAATAGATTTAAACACGAAATATAGGTATAGAGATTTTAGTTCATAGATGTTCATTTATAATTTTTACATCATACCTGAATAAATGAAAATAAGGAAACAAACCTATAATAAAAATAAAAATAATGGTAGGCAGTAAATAAGCAAAGAGGCATGACTGCATGACCAAGTCATTACGTAGTGACTACTTAAGTCTGAGTATAATGATTGTTAGTATGAGGCCTGAATAAATGAGAAAAAGGAAATAAACCTATAATTCAAACTGGAAATAACTCCAATCCATCAGAAAGAAGTATGGCTAATTCATTGCACAGTGACTACTTAAAGTTTCTGCTGAGTATAAATGAAAGCTCACACATGATTCTTAGTTTGACAAGAACAGGTCACAATGGTCCACAAGATGGCTCCAGCATATTATTATTACTGCAATGCTGTCTTTTGTAACATTGATAACTAGATTCAGGCCACAATGAAATAGAACAGTAATGGACTAATTATAGGCAAATGATCAAAATATACAACCAGGCAACAAGGAAATCAAAGAGCAATGAATATGTGAAAGTATTTAGTTATTTACTCATGCTCCAAAGCTTGTGCAGCTGTTATACGCTTTCGGGGATCATACCTAGAACAGGAGAATCTCATGGTGATGAATCAAAACAACAAGAAAGCATTAACATATAATATGTTCAATTGCTAACAAGCTAGAGAGCAATGAGCAAGTGACAAACTCAAGCATTTTTGAGAGAAGATCAAATGCAGGACTCTTCGGTGGCAAATGAACAATGTTATGGAGACCGGGGTTGTCACTGAAAGGAAGAAAGGATTACCTGAACAGATGAGTGATGAAAAAGTAATAATTTATGTATCTTAGAGCAATTAAAAAATGTCAAACGTACTACTTATGGCCTTGAATGTGTTGCTGGTCGTTTTGCCACCATGGAAGATTGGCAAGGGTAGGCCACTTTTCAACTGTAGGGTGGCCTGCAGAAGGATTGGATTATATATAACAAATACAAGAATACAAAAGCCAAACAGTACAGAAGAGGAAGCGGGCCATCCATACCTAAGACCTTAAAAATCTTGTCAAGTTGATCAAGCTACAAGACATGCATAAATCAACTGTGAGATTTAAGGTGCAAATAAATGGCATACACAGAGGAAAACTTCTATAAAATGTAGTACATCAGATTATACAACAGTAAGTAAGTATCTGCCTAATTGATTTTATTAAGATGAAGGATTGGATCACACAAGACTGTTATTTTACTTGGCATGTAAATGTGGCAGTTTTGGTCTTATAATCTAATCTGGTAGCAAGATAACAACAATAATTACTTGAGTGAAAGTGCCCATACCTGGAATGGGTTCGGAGTATTTTTCGCTTCCACACCTTGGAACAGAGGTTTCAGTGTGAGCAGTTCAGCAAAAATGCAACCAACTGCCCACATATCTATAAATAATTTAAGGAAATAACTGAACTGAATCAAACAAAGAGAAATACAAGGTAAAAGAGATATGTTTTTGCTCTCCAGGCAAGGATACCAACAGCACTCGTGTAGTGCTTTCCCCCAAGTAACAGCTCAGGAGCACGATACCAGATAGTTACAACAACCTGAAAATCATTGATAAGCCATACATATACACAGCGGATATCGGTAACAAACCACATGCTCCCATGAATAAAAGAGAAATCAATGATTACTGAAAGGTTCAAATGTAAAGAAAACTGAAACATTATATGGGTGTGTATGCATCTTCTAAGCCTCAAATTTATCAGAAGCAACCTAAGGCATATTTTCCATTATTTGTATTCCTGGAAAGAAGGGCAGAGGACAGCAGCATGCGTGCTAGCTAAAAGGAATGCATGTGGAGGTGCTCACCCCATTGTCACATAATGGTTTCAGTGGAGCTTGATATATCCTAGCAAGTCCAAAATCAGCTATCTTTATAATTCCATGCTCGTCTCCTTCTCCCATGACCTGTAGTGGCACATATGCAAGCACTATAAGCAAAGAGGACAAGTTTGCACAAATTGTGCAGTTATATTTGTATATCTGCAGATGGCACCAATACCAGTATGTTGGAAGGCTTTAGATCTCGATGTATAATCCAGTTACTGCAGGAGGGAAAGGGGGGATAGTTGAGATGAGCCACCGGATTTTCACTAGGGCTTTCCATCGAAAGCAGCACACAATACTCCAGTTACCTGTGAAGATAGTTGAGGCCGTTGAGCAGTTGCCACAGCAAGGATTTGACAGTGTATGGGTTAATGGAGGAGCTCAGCTTCTCCCTGTGATGCCTGATAATCTCCTGCGGTTTGGTTGGTTGGTTTGGTAAATCAATTAGGTATAGGACTCAAAAAATGAATTGAAAACACCATCACATACATAGAGGTCGTGCTCTGCGTAATCGAATGCGAGGTATAGGGACATGTCAGCGTGGTTGATGTGCACATTGACGAGCTTGACGACATTCTCGTGGTTTATCTCGCGCAGGAGCTGGCAAGCAACAAGGTATATTAGGCTAGGGTTTGGGGATCCAGCCCTAGAGGGCCGATAGGATGGAAAGCATACAGGAGGAAGAAGCAAAGCAAAGGGAAAAACTGACCATGATCTCTCTAATTGCGGTGGGTGATACTCCGTCCCCCTCCTTGGACTGCTTGAACTTCTTGATGGCGATAGGGGGGCCGCGGCGGCCGGGCGCCGGGTGGGACGGCTTGAGGCGCGCGAGGAAGACGAGACCGTAGGTCCCCTCGCCGATCTTGCCAATCAGCTCGTACTGCTGCAGCCACGCCGGACGGTTGGCGCCGCCCGCGCGCCCGTCCCCCATCCCCGTCGCCGGGCCGGCCAGCCGCCGCAGCTGAAAGTCCTCGTCGTCGTCCTCTTCTCCGACGCCGTGGTGGCGCTCGGCCCACCTTGACTTGTTGGACCAACGGCAAAGAATGCTGCTAACATATCTGCTCGCGGTTATGTATGTGGACCAAGATTATAGTTAGGCCCAAAGAGAAGGACGGCCCAATACACATAGAACTAGGCCCACGCAACGCAAGGTCTTCTCCTCCTGGCTCCTGCAGTCCTGCTGTGCCAAGGGAAGAAGACTAATCAAAACTCTGAAAGAGTGTGCTGTGTGTTATCCATTTCTTCTCTGCTCTGCTCCCTCTCTCTAGTGGGGAGCGCCGCCGCCGCCGCTGCCAGAGCAGTCCAGTTCCGTCCCATTCGGTAGATATGGCGGCCGGGAGTGCCAGTGCCACGGCGTCCCTCTCCGTGGCGGCGGCAGCGGCTGCTGCTATGCGCGTCAGGCGGCCATGCGCTCGCTCTCGCTCTTGGCCCCCCTCTCAGCGGCCGCAAAAAGGGGCACTCCTCAGCCTCAAGCCTTGCGCCTCACTGGCACCACACGCTCCTCTGTGGCGGGCGGATTCGGATGCCGCAGGCGGTGGTGCCGGCGCCGGCGACGTCATGGGCCTCCTCCTCCGGGAGCGCATAGTCTTCCTCGGCAACGAGATCGAGGACTTCCTCGCGGACGCCGTCGTCAGCCAGCTCCTCCTCCTCGACGCCATCGATCCGGACTCTGATATCCGCCTCTTCGTCAACTCACCAGGGGGGTCCCTCAGGTAAAGGTCCTATCTTCCTTCCCTTACTACAGAGTTCCATTTCAGTCCTCCTTATCTTTAATCCATTCATTCATCATCATGGACTACTCTTAATTTGTGTGCCTACTTCACTTCGAAATCTAACTCAAGGACTACACTTGTGACCACTCTTGCTGCCTTTCAGCGTACAAATGTTAACTCAATCCTCAGATTTATCTTTGCAATGTACGAACTTAAACTGAATTGGTGAATCATGAAATTTATTATCTAACCCAATCTAGTAACCCTGAACTTTTCATTCTTTCAATGACAACTGAAAAGGGTTAACATGTAGGCATCTCGATTCTATATGTGATAGCCACAAATCGCAGTCAAATTCATTTCCACGGGCTGACTTCGGGTCTTAGGATTCTCATGTATAGGATATTAGGATATAGGCACAATAGATTGGCAACTTTTGTTCGTCATGATTCATGTTGTGGATTGATTGATCCAAGCCTATACAAACCATAACCCTATCAGGTTCAACATATTCTTCTGATGTCTGCAGTCATCACAGTTTTTGGTGCATCCTTTCAGCACTGAGTGGCTAGTTGATCCTGTTGCTGAGAATTCTTCAATTCCTACAACTATTATTTGTTCACTATATGTTCCTTTCCTTCAGATATCTCCAATCATAGATGAAAATCATGTCCGCAACTGCATCTAGATTGCTCTGAATCAGTTTAATTAGTCTTTTCCTTAAGTTATAAATTCCTGAAGCAGCAATGCCTTTTACTGGAATTCCAAGGGAGAAGACTATTTGTTTTTATCATTGAACTATTGTCGGAGTTTGATTTTGGCCATGAGCGACCAGAAATCTTTGACCATACAGCTGTCAAAACCATTCACATATGGACATCCAGTAGTTTTGATGGTGGTTTTCTCTTGCGTGGACGACATGCTCCCCCCTCCATGCTCTCTCTTAATGCCGCAGTTGTCCCTCTCTTCTCTATCTCTCCACCGTGGCCCTCTCTATCAACGCTGCTGCTTCGGGTTGCCCCGTCCACCATGGCCACCAGCGCTCCCACCGCATGCTCGTCTACGCGTTTGGACATGGCGCGCACTAGCACCTTCACCGCCTCCAATGCCGATGACCACGGCATCGCGGCCACCCTTGGCATGGTATAGCCGCTCCACGGCCGCCAGCGCATTCTCAGGCTCCCCTGTACCACCCTCTGCCACGCACCGGGACAGCGTTGCCCCCCAAACCGCGATTGGGGGCAGGTCCAACCCGACATAACTAGGCTTAGAAGAGGTGTCGAGAGGATCTTTGGGGCACAAGTAAGCTCATCCTAGGCTCAAATTCAACGGAGAAGCAGCAGAGGCAGCTGGCCATGGTGATGCCTAGCGGCGGCGCAGCACCAAGGATAGGAACAGCGAGGGCAGCCGTGCCTAGGCTTAAAGAAGCGGTTGGGAAGAACCGCGGCCTTGCACCAGAGCTCATCATGGGGTCAGCGGGGGAAGAAGAGCACCCGAGATGGCAGTGGAGAGAGAGAGGAGAGAACTGTGACATGGAGAGAGACAACATGTAGAGGAGGGAGAGAGGGGTCTAACATGTGGGCCCCACTTTGGCATGTCGTCCATGTAAGTGAAAACCACCTTCAAAAATGCTGGATGGCTAGACATGAATGGTTTTGATAGTTCGATGGTTAAAGATTTATGGTTTTGGAGTTTCATGGCCAAACTCGAACTCTGGTGATAGTTCGATGGTCAAAAATGGACTTCTTCCAAATTCCAAACCTATACTACTCTAGGCCTTATATGCACTATCAAAATCTAGTTATAACCGCTGCAGAACTTTTTAAAGGAACAAAGTAATTTAGGCTGCAACACCTGTGTTCTGAGTTATCTAACTGGTATCATGCCTCATTGGTGACTGCTTATTCTGTCACATTATTTACCTAAATGGGAACATGTTCTACTTGTCCATCGTGAATTATAATTGTCTGAGCAGATCATCAAGCCTTTTGCTCATCATAGAAATGTTAATACAAAATCCTGTCATTTGCTGACCGACTGTTTTGTTACTCTTTCAGTGCAACAATGGCCATCTATGATGTAATGCAACTTGTGAGGGCGGATGTCTCCACTATTGGAATGGGCATAGCTGGGTCAACAGCTTCTATAATCCTTGGTGGTGGCACGAAGGGCAAGCGATTTGCCATGCCCAACACCAGGATTATGATCCATCAGCCTGTCGGAGGTGCAAGTGGGCAGGCCCTAGATGTAGAGGTCCAAGCAAAGGAGATATTAACCAACAAGAGGAATGTCATTCGGATTGTATCAGGCTTCACGGGCCGCACTCCGGAGCAGGTAGAGAAAGACATTGACAGAGATCGTTACATGGGCCCCCTTGAGGCCGTCGATTATGGACTTATTGATGGCGTGATCGATGGAGACAGTATCATCCCACTTGAGCCTGTCCCGGAGAGGGTGAAGCCTAAGTATAACTATGAAGAGTTGTACAAGGATCCACAGAAGTTTCTTACACCAGATGTCCCAGATGATGAGATATACTAGCCTAAAAGTTGTGTTTTATGCGAATCTTGAGTCAGTTCTTCTGCAAGCAGTTGCTTTTGATCGCCTGTAGCTGTCAAACAAATCCTAGCACTAGCTGTAGCTTATTGATCTGGTTTACTGCCTGTTTTACTGACTGAATGTTGATTCGAGCAGCAACTAGAACCTGTTGGTTGTGTTTGCCATCGCACATGTTTCTGGTGTTATTGAGGGTTAGAATGGTCTGGCTGTTTCGTTTTGATGTCTGACCATTTCAGGTGTGGCACGTTGAGATCGGCCAACTGTTTGGTTTTTTTGACCACCAGCACAAGCTTCTGCATCCATTTCGAAACATTTTCTTTGTGATGAAGATAGGTCTTATCAAAGTATAGCGAATATATAACTGTAAAGTTAGTATCGCATGCAATGATGACAGCCTCTTAAGACATGTGTCTTCCCAGAGAGATTTCAAAGGAGAGTAAAAAGTTCTCAGCTCTGAAAATGTTCTCGAATTTATTCGCTGCCATGTGCCCTCCAAAACAGAATGAAGAGTTTGCCGTAACAAGTATTTCTTTCTTAAACTCAAAGGTACAGTAATGAATACAACAATCAGCTTGTTGACAAAAGAAAAAAAAAGAATACAACAATCAGCGAGGCTGATATAATCGTAATGAAGCTATTCCCGTCATCAATTGAAAGCAGAAACGGCAGGGACAAGAACTGCTGGGGCACCTGCACCCATGGTGCTTTCAACTCTGAGGGAAAGCGGATCCCAAAACTGAACACTGTGGTTCCCGCTTTTCAGACTCATTGGTGCTTTGATGTAGTCAGCAGCATCACCATGGCTCTCTCTTGCTAACTTTGCTGCTGCGGCCCTCTTCAATCTGATACGTTCAGCTCTTGACCCGATTGTCTGACCCAATATTGAGGCGGCTATAGTAAGGGCCATGGCTGTCTTCGGCATCAGCACAGATTTCCTGAGCATCCCTATGAAAGGCACTGCTGCATGCACTGCAGCAAACCACTGCACTGAAAACTTCTTTGTGTGCTCCCTCCAGATGCCGAGAGGAACATTTGCTGCCATACCAAGCAATGCAATCACCAGTATTTTGGTTGGCAGGGGCTGAGGACGAAGGCCCTTTGCAAAGGCTGTGCGGGATAGTGCTGCGCGGGCAGCAACCACTGCAGGTGGGCACTTCAGTTTCATACCAGCTGGGGGTGTCATCATCTTTGCTACAAGTGGCACAACACCGCTTAATGCTCTATAAGACTTTGCAAGTGGACATTGGCCCGTTTCCAACCACTCGTTACTCAGTGCTTCATGATTGTTAGACTGGCCTTTATTCTGATTCTGAAATTACAGGGAAAGTAAAATCAGACAACTGAATGGCATGCTCCCTCGCAAAAGAATACGGTAAATTTTTTTTATCATGAACCCATTTAGTGTTAGCACTATGAAGACGGTTCATATACATTGTATGAAATGTGTCGACTACCAAATAAATTAATTTCTTTGGTGATGAAAAAGATCGACTGTATTAGACAATACTCGGATATTGTGACACTGGAGACAGGAAATATTTAGAAGTACAGTTAGCACAAGTTACCTGGGGGAGGTTGTTGGGGTTCTTTTTGTTGGAGTTTTTCTTATTGTGCTTATTTGAGAAGTCACCAAAGCTGAAAAACCCTCCAAATGCAGAAAGACTGATGGTTGCTGCTTTGGCTGCCAATGGGTTGAACTCAGGATTGGGCTTTGGCAGTGGCTTCTCAATCTGGGCTAATGATCCTTCTGAAAGTGGGACAACGCCATCTCTACCATGGAAAACTCGAAATGCCATGTCAAAATTAGGTCCATCTTCGAAAATTGGTCCCTTGGCTCCTCTTGCCTTCACAAGCAGCAAACAACACATTTAGTGATAGCATCCAAAACATCAATGATCTTCAGAAATGGATGGTGTGGTAATGTAAAGAGGAGCGGGAAGTAAAGGGCATACCAGAACAGGGAAGTTGACAGATGAGAAGGAAAAACTTGTAGGCTCATTGATGTTCCTCAGGAATGGGCATCTTTCAATTCCTTGTTGGATGACAGTTTCTTCCAAGCACATAGGCTCATTGAGAGCTCTTCTAAAAGCTGAATCCATATGGAGGCCACCGGCTAGTCGACCTGAAAGTGTGGAAATGTTGAGAGAGCAATTTGAGCAAAGAAATTATATGCGTCATAATAAATCATAGCACCAATTGTCTCCTATCATCATGTGTAAAGTCAACTCTAAACTAGATTAATGGTATGCTCGAATAGAAAATATGGTGTGAATTCTGAAGCCGAATGCTGACAGGCAAAGCTAGCTGGGCAAACCTAAACGTGAGAGCCTTTTGTTTTGTGGCTCCGTTTCAAGTGTGAACCAGTTGAGTATTAGCTGTATTGCAGCAAACAACTTCGTAGCCCATGTCGATTGTTGACCTGCCTGCCTACCTAACAGCACTAGAGCAGTTAGCCCATGAGCGCAGGCCGGCCTGACCTGCCGTGCAATTGAGCAAAAGCACCCAAATTTGCCTCCCAGGCCGATTGTTTGTTATCAAAATATTTGAAAGAAGGTTGTGATCGCCGCGCCGCTGCCGATGACGGAGACAAAAAAAAATGGCTATAAAATCAGGAGATACTACTCATGATTCGATCAGATCGGAAATCGGCCCTCTAGTTGCAATTAGAATGCAAAATATTTGGAGGCATGAGTCGAATCGTTCGTTAAGGGTGCTAACGAATTCCTTAACCCTGCACAAGTTGGAGCTTGGAAGCATCCGTCTTGCATCGAGTCCTCCCCCGAGAGAGGAGCAATCCGTCCACATGTACATCCTAATTCCTAATCTAGTAATCCTAGCAGGCGGGAAATCCAGGAGGAAAAAAGAGAAGTCTCACCTACGATTCGAAGCGAAGCGAAGCGAAGCGAAGCGAAGAGCAGGCGACGGAGATCTTCTTGTCCTGGCTGGCTAGGTGGGGGGTTGCGCCGCGTGTGGCGAGCACAGGGACAGGCAACAGGCGAGAAGAAGAGAAGAGAGGTGGATGCGCCGGACTTGAGGAAAGGAGGCCGAGGCCGAGACCGAAGAGTAGTTGGTTGCGGGGTGGGTGGGTGGCTCGTTGTTGCGTTGCCGTAGCAGCTGTTGGTTTGACTCTGACCCGGCCGCACCTGCCGACCTGCGCAGCACCAACGCGCACACTTTCCACGCGCCCCGGCCCGCGTCGCACTCGAACATGGGCTTCTGGAAGCGCTACTTCTTTCGTCATTCCGTGCGTTGACACGATCAAGAAACCAAGAGATTTAATTTATAATAACATCCTATCAAATGGCGCATAAAAGGGCGCGTTCGCTGGTGATACAAGACCAGCCGGCTGGCTGAATCCCTCTGTTACCGTTTATCAAACCAGTCAAGCAGTGTTTTTCTCTCACAACAAACAAGCCGAAACAGTGTTTTTCAGCCAAGTTTCAGCCAGCCGAACGAAGCCAAAAGCCACTCATATTTCTACAAATTTTCCACATAAGAAAACTTCTTACATTTTTGCTAATTTCGCCCACTTACTCATACATGGTTTGACGGCACCATGCAAACGTAAAGGGCTCATGCGAAAAGATGTGATAACCTCTCCCTTATCCATTTATCCTTGGGTCTCTCTTCTCCCTCCCATCATCTGTCTAGAGCACCTTCTCTAGATAGGAGCAGCAAAGACAAACTCATGAGTACGAACACTGTCTCGGAATAGGGCCTGAGAGGTTGTTCATGGACAGGTCGAGGAACGCTAGGTCGGCGGGAGTGCTGCGACAGGGCTGTCCCTTGGGGCGTGCAGCCAGGGCGACGACGCAGGGCCTCCAATTCTGACAGGCCTTCAATTTTCTAAGTACCATAACCAATACATAGCTAAGCAGGTTTTGTTTTGTTGGCCCATAACAGGATCACCTACTAGCAAGACTAATAAAAATGATTTTCCAGCTGGTTGCACGACGTCGTTTTGGGCGTTTTTGGTTCCTTGTATCTGCCCCGTCCTTGCCCCCGGGATGCAGTTTTCCATCGTTTGGATGCCTACATGGGGTTCTGGGCCTGGCCCTGGGCGTGCAACGCGCTCCCCCGAGCCTGGCTGCCGAGAAACAAAAATGGATTTTGTTTCTTGTCGGCCTGGCTCTCGCGGGACGAGAGCAAGCGTTCAGCGGCTAGAAAAATTGGCTCTCCAGATGCAGGCGGAAGATAGGGGCGCACGCGGGGGAAGCTAGGGTTACCGCCGCCCCTTTCGCGCCATCCTTCCGTGTTATAATCCTCACCGCCGCCTCCCCTCTCCCCATTCTCTCCCTCGCACTCGCCCTCTGCCTCTCCGCTCTGAGCTCTCTCTTCTCGTCTTCCTCTTCCTGCTCGTCCAGATCCTACTAGTGCTAGCAGGTGATGCATCCTCCCTTCCTCTTGCTCTAGATCCACGGTGTTTGAGGCTCGATTCAATCTATGCTGACCTTTCTCTTCTACCTCTCTTCATTTTTCGCAAGTTTGAGGTTCGATTCGTCGGGGTTTCATGGCAAAGAAAGCAGGTAACCTGTAATCCCTCGCAGATCTGGTGTTGCTCCCTTTCCCCATCATTTTTGTTGGGTTCTTAATGTATTTGAGCATTTGTAGGGTTCGATTTGTGCTGGTGACTTCGTTGGAGGTAAAAAGGCAAGTTTTCTCCCTAAGGTTTCGATCTGTTCTTGTTTCCCCAGATTGGATCTGCCTACTTGTCATACTAATTTCTTTCCCTCATGTGCAGATCTACCTTTACCTTTCCTTGCCTGTTGAACTTCTAAAAGCCCTATGACTTTTTTTTGCAAGGAGCCAGCGGTAACGATTTTTCCATTGAGCCCATGTCACTAGCCGATGATGATTGCTTACTTATTATGAAAACTGAGCACATGTTCTTAGCCGATGATGAATGCTTATTTATTTTGAAAAGTGAGCACATGTTCTTGGCCGATGATATTACTTTATAAATATGAAACTAAGCACATGTCCTTAGCCAATGATGCATGCTTATAACGTTGAACTAGCTATATCTGAGCTCTTGTGCATTAGGCGATGATGATATTATTTTTTGCTAACCAACTTGTTGAATGCTGAAAATGATCTTTTCTTTTACTGAGACATGCTATGCATTTTTTTAACCGCAATAGATGAACCCTACCGAGCAGAGATGCATGCTTGTGATAAAAGTTGTTGCTTTTGTGTCTGTCATTTATGCCTACTTCATGAGTAGGCTGAGAGTGGCACGTAATTCACAGCCTCGGATCACATATGCCCCAATGAGTGACATGGATGAGGGAACGCCAAGCCAATCTGAACAAAATTTTTAATTGTAATGACATAGAATGTGTTAACATGCTGTATATGCATAGAGCTCCCTTTTTCAATCCATGTAACCTACTTAGGGACAGAAACTTGCTAAGAGACACCATAAATAGTACTGTGGAGGAACACGTAGCAATGTTTCTCCATGTTGTGGGACACAACCAGAGATTTAGAGTTATTCATCAAACATTTAGGAGGTCCATTGAAACAGTCAGTAGGTATTCTAGGGAGGTCTTGTATGCTATTGGTGAGCTTAGGGGAGAGATGATAAGGCCACCATCAACTGAGACAACACTTAAAATCAGAACAAGCCCAAGGTGTTATCCTTATTTTAAGGTAATTAAATGAATCTAAGGTTCAACTCTACCTAACTACAGTCCTGACCAAACTTTAATCATCAGTCTTGCTATCATGTAGGACTGTATTGGTGCAATAGATGGTACTCATGTTCATGCTAGAGTACCAGCAAAGATATCTGCAGCATTTAGGGGTAGAAAGCACTATCCTACTCAAAATGTGCTTGCTGCAGTGGACTTTGATCTGAGGTTCACCTATATGCTAGCTGGATGGGAGGGATCTGCACATGATGCCCTCATTTTAGCCGATGCTCTAGAGAGGGATGATGGGTTAAGGGTTCCTCCAGGTACTTGTAACACAAATTTTTAGGCAAACAACAAATGAGGTTTCAAATAAGCACTATAACCGATTCTTGGCTATCTAATTAATTGTTTAGGTAAATTCTACCTAGTGGACGCTGGCTATGCATGTCGCCCTAAATTTATGCCCCCTTACCGAGCCACTACATACCACTTGAAAGAATATGGTGGATGAAATTATCCTACCACTAAGAAAGAGTTGTTCAACTTGAGGCATTCAAGCCTAAGAGTCACAGTTAAGAGGGCATTTGGGGCTTTGAAGAATCGATTCCGTATTCTAAACAACAAGCCCTACCACCCATTCAAGACACAAGTCAAATTAGTTCTTGCATGTTGCATTCTTCATAATTGGATAATTTGCCATGGTCAAGATGAGGTTTTTCCTGATGAAGCAACATGGGAACCTAATTCTAGTAGTACTAGACCTGGTCATGGTAATGAGACTGACAATGTAGCTTGGGTTAATAGGAGGGATGAAATTGCAAATCAAATGTGGAACAATAGGGGCACCTCTCATGTTTAGAGCTTGCTGTTTTTTGTGTGCAATGATGAATTGTTGTTCTGTTAGCTGAGCCTATGCACTTGTGCAATGACGATTCAATCCTTTATTCCTCTATGTTCTTGCTGTTGATTTTGGTTCAGGTTTTTTGTTAGTGCAATGATGACAAACATGCATGAATTAAATTCTATTTTTCTGATCATATGGCAATGGGTATGTGCTATGATAACCATGCATGCATTGCATTCTGTAACTTAACTTGATCATACACTGAGGCAATATATGACTGACATAATTAGGGGATGGCTAAGGAGGTTGCTAGGATTGATCTGGAGGGTGATGAGGTTGTCCAGGTCGGTGGAGATGGTCAGTAGGTGTAGGCTGGTGCTGAGCAGCGCCCTAGGGGTGCTATGTGCTAGACTAGTGCAATGTCTTCCTTTGTCCTGCGTCGTATGTGCCAGCTAATTGAAAGTGGTGTTAGAACAGAAAAGGGCTTCAAGGAGGTGCACCTGAACCAAGTTGCCAAGTACATGTAGGAGTTTACTAGCAATGAGGTGACTGGTACTCAAGTGTATAACCACTTGAGGAAGTGGAGGCAGAGATGGATGAGGGTGTCCAAGCTGAGAGAACTCAGTGGTGCCCTCTGGGTTGAGGAGATGTGCATGATCAGCCTTGATGAGGAGAATTACAAGGGACACATCAAGGTGTGCGGGCTGCCTCGATCTTTCTTACCTTCTTATTATGTTAAATAACTCTTTCTTTCTTCTTATCCTTTAGTTATATTGCTAACTGATCATACACATTAAAATTAGGCACACCCTAAGGATGCTGAGTTTTTGAACAAGCACATAAAGAACTATAAGGAGGTGATGACCATTTTTGGGAATGGTTTGGCCACCGACAAGTATGCTATGGGTTCCAATGAGGCTCTAGGTAGCCCATTAGACTTTGCAGATAGCTCAGTGAAGACTGAACCACATGATGATGAGAAGGCAGCCAAGTCCATGGATGCTGCTGCCAAGGTCTTTGGTGAAGCATGCAAGGATGCAAAGGATGTCACTAGTGGTTCTGGTCCTTCCAATAAGAGGAAGAGGTATGTCCTCACTAAGGAGGACCATGTGGTTATGGCCGGCATGACTGAGGCAGCGAGGGATGTTGCTTCTGCTATCCCTGAGACTAAGGTTGAGGTGCTAAACCCTGATCTGTATGGTGTAGTGATGTACATGCCGGGGTTCACTAAGGAGGCTCTGATCTGTGCTTTCTCCCATCTAGTTGACAACAAGGCTTGGGGTGATGCTTTTGTCAACACGACCGACTCTCACCGTGTCTTTTGGCTCAGGACATGGCTTGCCAAGCATTACTACATGTAGATGTATCTACTTGCTTGCTGACTGATCTATCTTTTGTGGAGTGAAGCTACCAACCTGCTGCTTCCTCCTCCTTTTGTGCAGTGACCTCTTTTGTGCAGGACAGAGCTGACTAGAGCTGCAACACTATGCTCCATTTCTTTTGGTTTGAGACAGCATGCTGGTCTCTTTAGCTAGTTACCTCATGGTTGGGTGGTATGTTTAGGTTGTAGGTCTAAGAGTGGCAAGTACCGTGGTTGTGGGTTAGGTGCCAGTAGCACATGTATTAGCTCTATGATGATGTATTTGATCAGTCAGTTACATTGCCTATGATGTCATGGACACTTGATCATGGTTGCAGTTATGGCCATGGATTTATTTCATGAGAATTCATCCATTGCCTTCTGTTAATTTCTATCTTCAC